CCTTTCTGCCTTTTCAAGTGTCCTGCACTGATGCACAGCCTCTGCATTGCAACCTCCCTGAGTTCTGGTCAAGACAGGGTGACTTTGCTTCAGTCTGGCTTGTCTGTGATTGTGACCATTTGCTCACTAATGTCAAACACCTACTGTGGCACATTAGGTCAAGCCATAAGAAGTAATACCCAGGCTTCTTTGGATGATACTGTCAAACACATGGGAACTGCCTGTCCTTGGGGAATCATTATAGCAATTATAGCATTACAGTATCTTCCTTCAGACCCCCCCCTCCCCCATGTATGCATGGGGGTCTATCAGCTCTTCAATGAAGAATTTAAAAAATGGTTCCAAACATGGATTTTCTACATACTATACCTGTTTATCTCTGCTTTACAGTCCCAGTTTATGTCTTGAAGGTACAGATGTTCTACAAGACGTTGTTCTTGCCCTTGGGATTATAAGTTATAATTTATTAACTGAAATAGTGTTCTTTACCACCAGAAAAATAAACATTTCATACAGAAGCTATTTGTTAAATTCAAAAGAGCAGTTCTACTGACCTGCGATATACCAAAGATCCAGCCAGATGGCCCCAAGTGAGTATTTGTGGAACTATCTTGAACAATATGCCTTGCCATTAGGTTTTGCAGGATAGAAATGTTTATTATCCCAAAAATACTACAATAGTGTGTAGTAGATTAAGGGCAGTAGTAACTGGAATAGTCTAGAAAACTATCCTGAAAACTCAAGAGACATTAAGATGATGTCATGCTAAAGCTGCGGTGCAAACAAAATGGGTTGATATTTGACCCAAAGACAGTGAAATTAATAAAAGGACCTTTGGAGATCTAGCACTGATTTCACAATTCTGGGAAATCTGGGAATTGCATTTGAGAGGGCACAAGGTGTTATTTTAAACTTTACGTACAAGATGAAAGCAGTGAATGTAATATTTTTAAGTCCTATGGATGCATTTTACAGCTTGCCACATACCTTACAAAGGAGAGTGAAGAAAGTTAGAATGAATTTACTCAGTTCGTGGATTTAAATGGTCTAGAAAAAATGATTTTGTTGTTTTATAAAAATTAAGGAGAAAAAGATTCAGAATTGTAGAATGGAGAAAGAAAATTACTCTGTACAAAATCAATGAGCCTGTGCACAAGGGAGAAAAAAGATACTCAGCATGAGTTAAGGGTTAGTAGAAATAAGCCTTTAGTGTGAAATTCAATCCTGTGCTAAGTACCAATACAGACCTATCACAGAAACCAATTAAGGATCATTTAAGACTGATCTACTTTTTCATTAAGTATCTCTTAAATGTAAAACCTGACTAGGTCTCATCAGTCAAATATTCACTTAAAGGCCACCAGTAAAGGTAGTAGAAAAGCTATTATTTAAACTACGTTTTCTTTTGACCAGGGAAAATCTTCTTGAGAAGCTTAGAAACAGTTTATAGTAGCAGGAGGATAAAAAAATTTTACAAGTCCTAACTTATTAATAATTAAGAGATGCACTGAATTCTGTTCTTGCAAGGCTGAAGTGCCTCATAGAACAGCTTGTGAATTAGTAAGAAAGAGTACTAATTGTTTGGTTGATCATTAATTAGCCATCCTGCCTTTCCATACCATCATTTAACTCCGTTAAGCTTAATGTTTGCACATATACCATATTAATGATCTCGTGTACAGATAGCAGAGGAAAATATAATGATTAGTGAAGCAATAATTACATAATACATTATCAATTTCATCAGTATTAATGTTATTCCATCAATTCGCAGCATTACAATAGAAAACTGGAGCACAATTGCAGATGTATATTTAGCGATCATAAATTATTACTGGATCAAATTATTTCCAAAGGGATCAAACCCCATAAAAATAACATTGTGCCCTACCTCTGTAGGGTGTTTTTTAACAAACAAACAAAGGCAGTTTCTAGTGAAATCAGTGTAATAACTGAAAGTCTGTAAGTTCTCATTTATTTTAGGTCTTGTTCCATGACATATGATATGACAGTGATGCTTTTCCAGAATTGTTTCCCTTTTCCAGAGCAGTTGTTCCAAATTTTGATTGAGAAAACTGAAATATAGACTTTTCTGTGAAAGCTCATAGAAGGGCAACAAAGGTAATGAGATGTACAGTTAAGATTTACACAAAGGCAGTGAGATGTACAATAAGATTTACATATAAAAGACTTCAAAGACTGTGAAGATTCAGAAGGTATAAATTGACATTCATTTGGATCATTTACCAGTTCACATCAGTGAGGTTCTAATTCTTGAATGGTTTTGTTTGGAAAGAATAGGAAGCAGTGGAAAGATGATTCAATACTCGGAACAGTGATGGGGGCAATGATGTTCTAACAGTGCTTCCTTTTTTTGCTTTGCACACTTAAGTGAAAGGCCTCATGAAATTAAGGGCCAGTGCATTTAGAATGAATAAAAGAAAATATTTTATGCAGAAAATAGTTGGGCCATGGAATTTTCAATGGCATAAAGAGAGATAATGTGTCTATATGTAATGGGGCTGGATAATTTATGTTCACTAATACTATTTGTAGCGGTGATAATACAGATGATCAAATCTCATGTGTCAGAGAAATATGATGAAGAGGGAACACTTCTTTCTCTTTCTTACTGTCATTTCATAGTCAGTTAGATGTTTTATGGGTATATAAACTAGAGACATAAAGTATGAGAGGAGCCGTAGAACAGTAGATGGACCCATTATGACAAATGCTGTATGAGTCACTCTGTGAATACCCAATCCAGAATGCCCATTGTTGCCAAACTGTAGAAAATATTTCTGTTTTAAGAGTTAGTTTGGATAAGCAAAGCTGACAAATGTTAGAGCCAAAATAAAATTATGGAGCAGAGGTATGTGACCCAATAAAAGCATCTTACAACTGTTTTATTCATATGACACCTAACCTATATGGCTGTAGTTCCTATTGATTTCAATGATTCCCTGTAATATACATTACTATAAATGAAAGCGAGGTCAATTATTGCACCAAAAAGGCATTTTCAGTGCAGATTTTTCTGTCTCAATGCTATGTTACAGAGGTTCAAGCACTATTTCCTCTTTTGTCACTTTTTGGTCAAGACATGTCCTCTATAAAAGGTTCTGTGACATTAATACTTTCTAACTGAAGGCATCATTTGGCAGAGTCTATATTCAGTGTCACACACTTTTAAAGAATTGCTCCTGGCATCAAAGCCTAATGGTATTACAAATCCTGTCACTATTTCAATAGTGAAGTGGTAAGAGAGTTAGAAATACTAGAACGGTGCTCCACTGTCATATAGCCTGGCAAAGAATAATCTGTTTCTTCTCTTGCTTATACCAGAGAAACATTGTCAGTCTCAACTATCCTGATTTACAGTTTGATTGGAAAACATCTGGCATCAATTTTTAGCTGTCCATGGATAACAGGGAATTTCAATTTAAGTAAGTGCTTCACAGTGTTGTGAGTAAGAAGAAACTTGAACTCAATGTGTAAACAGATCAGCAACAGGATCACTTGTTCTGTTTAACAAGAAAGTAAATCACCTTAGCTAAAGATTCTTCTTGATAGATAGTAAAACACTGTTATATAATACACAAACTCCATATGGACTTTCCTGCATCTCATACAATCTGTCAAACAGCCACCTAAGAAAGCATCACGCAGTTTCAAATTTGACCATATCAGAATACTGACTGCAGCCTGTCTCTCATATAGCTCCACCAGATAACTGGGTAAGTCATTACAGAAAGAAGCATTTACTTAGTTCTTTCTATGCATTTTCCAAAACTAAGAAAGAGAATTTCCAGGACAGCAACAGTTCTGGAAAGTTTTCAGAATTTCCTAAAATTAAATGGGCACCAGGAAACATGTAATCTCTAAACAGAAAATTACATATTTGCTCTATTATCATTAATAGCCTTTTCTGTAATTACAAACAGATAATTCATGTTAACATGAGGCATTTCAGTTACCTGGGGTAATTGTCATTCAGCTGTAGCTTGTACCTCTTAGTTCTCTATGGGTGTGTTCAACTCATGATAATCTCCCCACTTCATGTGCTTTATCACTCAATTAACTCCATTGATTTTGCTGCTCTCATTGAGAACACATTCAGCTAGATATGGTGTATATACCATTTCACATGAAATTCTCACGTTCCAGTAAAATCAAAACTGTTTAATATAAAAAAGTTGACTGTATTTTCCAAAAGGAGTATTAGTAATTTTAGCCTATTATTTCATATAATTAGTTTATTCTCAATTTTAAGTAAGTCTTAGAAAAAGGGTGTAAGCTCTTTGCAGCAACAGTTTTCTATTATTATCCATTTATGTTGCCATCCTGGTGGGATAGGAACTCCTATGCATTACTGCCGTAACAGGAAATCAGTATGAACAAGTAAGCATAGCTGAGAAGAAACCTGAAAGTATTCAAACCATTCAATCATTTCTGATTGATTAATCTTTAATTACCTGATTTTTATTATCAGTTTTTTTAAGTAGACTATATTAAATATTTACCAAAGACAAAAGTAAAAGCACTGATGGAAATAAAACCTTCTAAAACAGTTGCATTATGCATATGCAATTAGTCTTCCTTTTCTGCAGCCATCAGAAAACTCACTCGCTCCCTAAGGTATCTTTAAAATGTTCTTTGATGAATTTTCTTGTGTCATGCTTGATTGTGTATGTGTCACACACTTTATAAGAACACGTACAGTGGGAACAATTGCTTCTCTTTTGTAACTGTAATATGGCTTCATATATAATCATGAAGAATTTCCATACACTATATCTGTGCAAGAAAAACTATGTGTCTTATACAGTCCTTCAGTGATAAGCTGCTTCTCAGTCTTATTGCTGTAGATTGTTAGCTACCAAGGAGCACTCAGTCTGAATATAACGAAAGCACAGGGTCCTTTCTTTGTTGATGTAGCATGCTAAGTGAATCAGGAAGACTAAAAACAATGTAAATATTTTTAAAAGTCCCTTCTTTTTATGCGTCCATGTGTCAACAAGTCACTAAAAGGAAACGTAATCACACGTTGAGAGTCTGAGAATTTTCCTTGGGACGTCGGTGGGAATGCCGGGCAGCATCCCTGCTGATGGGATTTGCTATAATTCTTCCTTCGTTCTGCCACCAAGTTATTCGTTACAGTTCACCTTATATCACTGTGATCCCCTTAAAGTCTTCCTTCATCCATAGTCTTTATGTGATGTTCACTTTTCTTTCTTTTTTCCATTGTGTTGTGTCAGCACTGCAAGACTGGCTAGCACTACAGAGAGCAGACGTTTCTGCATCCTCTTGATTTTAGGCACCTGGAAAGGAAAGGACTTTTAGACTTCTCATTAAAGTATAAAGGAAAGAAAAGAATCTTCACTAATTATTATACTGTAGACAATTTTAATTTTAATCTGCAACATATACTGTACATATGGAAATATATGGTAATTACAGCTTGTTCTTACGCTGGTGTTGGAATTCTGGTGTCCTCGGGATTTGTTCCTAAGCCTGGAGAGAGCTCTGCCTGGCACGGACTGTTTTGCCCATTCAGCTATGCTTGAGTCCTCCTCTCCGCTTCCCTTCAGTCTTTTTCAATATTGATTCTTTCCTCTCATTACCTTGCCCTCCTCTGCTTTCATGCCAGTCTCACTCTTTTCAGTTATCCGCTATGTATAGGCTTCTCAGGAAGCATCTGTCTTCTTGACCAGTCAGCCTCAGCCTCTCCTGCACTCTGCTGATTTTCAGTTTCTCTAAATTCTGTCTTCAGTCCCTTTGCATAGGCTTCTCCTAGTTTATGTCCCTAGACACCCTTTTATCCCCATGTAATCAAATAGGGTAGCTTTTCCTTGTTCATGGAAACGGCTGAACTGTGTCAGCTGAAATTTTCTAAAAACAGCCTGAGGTTCTTGGAAATTTCCTGAAAGTTCCTGTTTTGTAAAGTTAACTGAAAATATGACTTTATGGTCATAATCATATTATGGTAGTAATAATCCAAAGCCTCAAGAAGAGACAGACTTTAGCCCTGCCTTTTCAGCTGTGCCTGGTTAGATTTTTTGACTCATTAATATGCCTTATTATGCCATTAATTCACAATATATGATTTCACTGAAATGGCCTGTTCCTGTTTCCATGAAAATTTCTGACCACATCACTGGTTGTCACTGTTAGCTGTTCTCTGCTGTGCTTTAAAAATATTCACAGGAAAACCCCTAATACTGGAGTATTGATGTTGGACATCTCAATTTCAACAGTCTTTTAAGCAGAGATAGCGTATAAGAGGAGGACTGAGCAGGAACGACACTTTTTATTACTTCCAATACATTTATTCTCCTTAAAAAGGGAGGGGAAAAGTAAGTTCTTTGATGTTAATTCTGTTTTAATTAATTTTAGGGTAGAAAGTGTGAAGACTGAAGTTTCACTTTGACGCTGTACGTTAAGATTTAATGACCTAGACTTATTTACACCTAAATGAGTTTTTTCATAGTCTAATTAACAAAAATGTATCAGTTTGCCTCTTTAAACTAAGCCACTCTGAGGTAGTATCTTTTAGACATTTCAAATGTTTAATAAAAGATGAAAACCTCCCATTATTTTAAGTGAGTACTTTTCTAACAAGTTGTTTGTTTCATCTTAACACGTTATGGCTGCCTCCAAAAAATTGGCCTTTCCATTCAAGAACAGTCAGAGAAATTTCAGCTTTTTGTCTAAGAAAAAAACAAAGAAATGTTCAGATCTCACTAAACTTCTGGCTGAGAAATCCTAGCTCCCAGGAGCTTCCATATCCAGAGAAGGATCCCACTTACCCTGCAAGAAGTCCAGTCTGTGAAATGAGAAGCGTGGTTTTCTCAGCACTGAGCAGGAGACGCCCTCTGTTTCTCTTGGCTGCTGAGCCAGGCTAGAACTGTACTGGATCAAGCCCAATCCTACGGTTTTGATTTTCCTAGGAAATCTAATTTTGAAATATTCTTAACTGCTTTTTGTCTTCTTTCCAGCTGTGTTATTTAGGATTACATCAGAAGAATACAATACTCCTAATTCTCTGAATGTCATTATATTTTGATCTGGAGGCTTCCAAGTACTTTGCAGAGACATATTTTTCCCCCTTTTTAAAAGAGCAGGAAGCTAGGATACAGAATGATTCAGGACTTGCCCAAGATCACAGGGAAAGTCAGTGACAGACCTCGTCATTCTTAGATGAGTCTTAATATTGCGACACAGGTTAACATTTCTGATGTGCAGTAATACCTTACATAAGTGACAAACTTTAAGTACAAGAGGACCCCCACTGTTTTCCATGAGGCTGCTCATATGAATCAAGTTAGGAATTCAGTTAAGGTATTTGCAGGATTAGGGTCTTACATATGGTGGAGAATTGAGCTTTAAATAAACTTAAATAGACTCCCAGTCCTTTGTGCTTCCCATTATCCTGTGTTGCCTCTCACTCTGAAATAGGGCATATCAGACAGCCAAGAGAACTGAGCCGACAACTGGGGGGGGAGAAGGCTGTCTCCTATGAATTACAAAATCTAAAGACTGACCCCCCAAATCATACGCTTCAGTTTCAATAACATTCATGGCTTTGATATCAATCCTGTGATTCTATTTTAGTTTGTCTTCTGATTTTTGAACTCCTGGGGTTGGCTACACTGACATCATCTCTAAATTTGGTGGAGAGAGAAAGGCAAGGCATTGTTAGGGTGAAGGAGCCTGAACAGCAGCAGCTGCTGATCTGCTCAGTCAACACAGTCTATTTTATCACACGGCTTGAGATCGAAGGTTTCTCAACTATATTTTTAGCACATTAAGTAAAAGCTTATTTGTCTTTTGACTGAGGTGATTATACACTTGGTGAGGTGCTACTGCTTGTTCTGCAAAATAATAAAGACTGTTAATCTTATGATAAACTCAGAGGTGCAAAATGAGCATCGCTCAAACCTCTTTTTTATTACCCTCCTCGTCAGAATGCTCAGGAAATAGACCTGGAAAGGTATGAAGTCATGATTATCTCTGCTTTAGTGTGCATTACATTAGTTACAAAAGATAAAAAATAAGTTACCTGAGTCTTCTGCTGGGCTGGGGAACCATGCAATGTTAAGTAAATAATGATGCAGAACATGGTAAGATCACCAGTATCAGAATGGGGAATACTTCTGTTTATAAGCTCTACTTCAGCAACATTTTTAGTCTCTACTCCTTTGAGAAAGGGTTTGTGGCAAGCAATACAGTAGGTTAAGGGAATCTGAATAGCCCCTGCACTGTTGCCTAATGGAAATAGAGGTCATGAAGTACTGTAGGCCATAATTACATCTGTGGCTTACCATCAGTAGTAATTTTGTGATAGAGTGGTGAAGCCAGGCAGCTTGTGAACCCACTGCCTAAAACTTGTTCCCATACAAGTTCTACAGAAAACACCAACAGCTACAACAGAGCTGTGGCTGTGTCTACATGGCACCACGCAATATCACACAGAAATACCAGTGGGTGAGCTCTGAGTGAGTACTAGAAGCAATCTTACAGCAATGGCACAGAGCACTGTCTGGGTTTATTAATCTGCAAGGAACAATATGTCAATACTGCAGTTCTGCATTTAGTATCCAAGCTCATTTGGAAATCTCAGTATATGACACTTCATCATGCCATATAGGCATGCACGTGGTGAAATAGGAACAAAGAGGGGAAATTCTAGCTCCCACTAAAATCAGTAGGAGTTTCGACATTACTTCAATGGGGTCAGGATTTCACCCATTTTTTTGTAATGGCTTGGGTTCTCTCACTACAAACACAGGTTCATCCCACAGCTGGTATCATCCCAGTCCATTCATTGTAATTCTCAGTACCATCAAAGTTGGTGTTTTGCAACTGTTATGAACTGAAGAAAAAAGATAAATCTCTGGCAATGTCTCGTCTGTTTAGATAGCAAGGTCTTTAGGAGCAAGGACTGCCTATTACTGTCTGTTGCTATAGCGCCTAGCACAATGGGGACTTGGGTCTTAGTTGGAGTCCGTGCAGTATCATCACCATACTAATAAATATTCCTGAGGCGCTAGAAAAATACAACAGCTACTCTGTAGTGCAGTCATACACCAAAATGGCATAAAATAATTGACATATAGCGTAGTCACGTTATGTGTGGAATTACACCTTGCTAGGCAAAAACTTCTCAGCTACTAAAAATAATCCTCCATGCAGCACTGATGATCTTGCAGTAACCCAAATGATTTTACAAACTCCAAAGCTCTCTCTCACATATATAAAGATATCGTACTCTCGAACATACCACAGAACTCAGAGAAACGCAGATGATGAAGCACAGAAAATATTTAAGAGCACAAGGGCTGCAAAACAGAATGAGAGTTAAAAAGTTGCACTCTATTATCATTGTGAGGTGGATTTAAATAAGTAGGAAATTATCTACCAAGCTAGAATTTGGCAAGAAGACCAAACTTAACATTCCCTTATTTCATCTCCATGTGTCACGTCCATCAGAATAATGTCCTCCCAGCTGGAAATAGGCAGAAATTTTCCAGTAAGCAATCTTTCATCAGAAAATGCTGAGTTACTGAAAATAAAAATATTTCTCCGGAGTTTCTCTCAGTTGACATTTCTTTGCCGTAACACAGGCAGGTTTCCCTCTTCTGTTGCTCTGCAGCAGCCCTTTTGTGGGGGCTTCCTTGGACTCCAAGACACCAAGACTCCCATGCTCGTGCAGCTGAACCCTGAGCTCACAGCTCTTCCTGAGGTCTGTGCTAGAGCAGGAAACCTTGTATTTCTGAGTTCAAGTGGGGGCTCATGGAGCTTTGCTCCCCCTTTCCACAACAACCAAACTGGACACCTTAACTTCTGCACCCCTGCCCCCCCCGGCCCGTGGAAGGGGAAGCCTGGCAGCCACAGGGAAACCTGCTTCGTAGAGGCGCTGTGCTTTGGGCGCTTCAGGCACCAAGAAAGCTGGCTAAGGTGGGGAGCTCCATATTTCTGAGCTTCCTACTCTATCAACAGGTGAGAAAAAAGCAACGCTTGGAGCCCTGAGGCTCTCACATCTGCTGCTTTCGTAATGGGAGGTTTCCCAGGCTCATCTGGGATTTGTATATTTGGCTCTATTCGTTTCAGATAAAATTATCAGCACTAAAATAATCTAATTTTTCCAATGTAAAATTTTCAGAATTTTAATTCCGTAGGGAATTTTGAAAGTTCTCTTTTTTTATTCTCATTCAGAACAGAAATATGAAGCAGAGCTCCTGAATCTGAGTCAGCTACATTCCAAGCACTGTCTGGGGAATTATTCAGTGCTCACTCCTTGGACCAAGTCCTTTACACT